ACTTCAAAATGGCCTAGAAATGCCTTAACATGACCCTGGTGTGCTTTCTAGTCCACTTTAACGGGGTGGCCTAACTTTTGCAACTTTTGGTTTTTTCTAGGCCATCGCTTCAAAATGACCCAGGAAACACACCAGATGAATGTCATGCCATTTCTAAGTCATTTCTTCTTGGTAGCCTAGAAAACCAAACTTGCAAAAGTTAGACCACTAAAAACGAATCCCTATTTTTTTTCCAGGGCGACGTTTGGCTTCCGCCGAATCTCAAAATCAAAATTCCCGCTTTCCAAGAGACGGATCCAACGACGGGCGATGAGCTGGCCGACGACTACGCAGCGATTCAACGCACTCAAAACGCGGAATTTTTCGGGGATTTTCTACAAGAAGCTCTTACGAATGGGCTGTCAATTCGCTCCATCGCTGAGTTCTATGCGAATCGAACGGTTGGGAAACGGAGAGGAGATGGGGATGAGTATGGAGACGATGATGATGGATTATTTGATGATTTGGATGGTGCTGATAACGAGAGATCACAATTTTCGGATGGTCCTGACGGTGACAGTGATTATGATGATAGGGGTGATGATGATGATGATGATGACGTGGATTATGGAGAAGTGACTGGGGAGGAGGATGAGGATGGTGGAGCGAAGAGCAAGAGGAAGATGGTAAGAACTCTAGGAATCTAAGAATCTAAGATTCCTGAATTACTAGATCTCTAGATTCCTAGATTCCGTAGAATCTCAGAATCTAATAATCTAGGAATTCACGAATTCAGGAATCTAGGAAACTAGGAATCTCAGAATCTTAAATCCTTAGATCCTTAGATCCTTAGATTTGTTTGGAATCAATTCCAGATCGCCAACGACGATGAACCATTGCCCATCGTCCGTCAACGCGGTCGTCACGACAACACCGATCCATCAGAAGAGACCCTAGAATCCATGCAACAACGTCTTCAACACCGTCGTCAGGAGAAGAAGAAGCATCGAGAGATGTCGGATCGAGTACCCAATAAGCCCCAAGGCGAGTTCGATAAAACCCATTTCGAGCCTCTTCCAATTAACATGGGTCCAAGGAAAACGCAATCGCTGAATTTTCTCTCCGTAGTCGTCAAGAATACCGCTGACATCGACCATCGTGCCGATCATAAGAGACTGTCGGCGTTCTCCGTTGACTGGGAGAATTGTGCCAGTGATTTTCGAGAATCTGGAGCATACTTCCGCAAATGGTACAAAAAACGGCTGCCACCGCAGACAAAAGGCACCAAAGTCAGCGAAATGGATCCGAGGGACCTCGAGAATGCGTTGAAAATCGAGGAAATGGCGATGGAGGGAAAAGTGGCCGGAGTCGTGGATGAGAATGGAGTGGTTTACCTGAATGGGTATATTACGCCATGGACAACAAGAGATTATGATCATGATACGGTTGTGAAGATTATTAAGGATGGTTGGGTGAGTTTTTTAGCTTTTTTGGCCTAGAAATGATCTGATATGACACGGTGGCCTAATTTTCGCAAGTTGGGTTTTCTAGGCCACCACTTCAAAACGACCTAGAAAACACACCAGGGTCATGGTAGGGCATTCTTAGGTCATTTTGAAGTGGTGGCCTAGTTCACCTTTCTTGTGTAACTTGGACCGAGATGTGTTTGGGGGGGATTATCAAGTTGAACCAGGGCCAGCTCTAGAAGACGAAGATTTAGTGAACGCCATCAATATGTTTATGAGGAATGAATATGATTATGATCAGTTTATGAGAGTCACTGGAGGACAGACACTGAAAGAAGAAATGGGGGGGTGGACGAAAACGCCCTTCTGACAGTGTCGAAGATGACGATGCTGACGAGGTTGATCTGACAGAAGATGATGATGAGGATGGAGAGCTCATGGCTGATGTAGAAGATGCAGCTGAGCATAATGGCGAAGGAACATCTGCTATCACTTTAGACGATCGATACGATGCGCTTCCAGAAGAAGCAAGATATATCATGACACAGGTTAAAGTG